CAAAGTGCGGTGGCTCAGCGGTGCTCACCGGCTGCAGCGGTGTGTGATCGATGGCGCCTTTGGCTATGCGGAATACAATGAGAGCAGCTAGCCCAAGTCTCTGTGTCAGCTGTTCAGCTGTTCAGCTGTCAATGGCTCTGCCACTGGCGTTTGGTCTTAGTGTCAGCCCCAGCCTCAGCCACAGCCACAGCCTCAGCTTCAGCTACAGCGCCAGCCTCTGGTCTTTGCTTCAGCCGCGAGGCTTGAGCACCGCCTCACTGTTTGCCTTAGCTAAGCAATTAATTCTGAAGTTTGCCTCCATCACAGACTCAGTATTATAATACGCATTTGCTTCCAGCTCAGCCTTAGCCTCAGATTCTGTTCTAATTTTGAGGCTCTAGGCTTTTGTGCCGACAAAGTTTCGGAATCAGTCTCTGTCATTAGCTTCTCACTCTGCCTCTACCTATACCTCAGACTCAGCTGACTCCTGCTCAGCCTCCACTTTAGTCTTTCGGCTTGGCCTAATTCAGTCTCTCTGAGTTTTGCTCTAGAGACTGTAGAATCTCCACCTTAGTCTCTGTCATTAGCTCTTAACTCTACCTTTACCATTACCTTAAACTCTTTGATTTTTTGCTCTGTCATTAGCTTCTCACCCTGCCTTTACCTATATCTCAGACTCAGCTGACTCCTGCTCAGCCTCCACTTCAGTCTCTCGACTTGGCTCTCCCTCTCTCTTTTTTCTTCTTCTGTGTATTCCTGCTTTTCCTTATAAAGTATTCCCTTGCGTTGGCTTTAGACACAGCCTAAGACTTCTGCTTTAAGCCGAGTCTTAGCACTTTTCTTCAACTGGCTTCAACGGAATTTAAGAGTTTTCTTGAAACTTTGCTTTGCATGTGTGGGGGTGTTTGTCTGGCATTTTAACGGCATCACCGATTACTGGCCATTACGCTCCATAAATGCGATCGGCCTCGACCGGGACTAACGGCAGCTGCAGAAGAAAGCGTTGCGCCAAAAAAAAAAAAAAAAAAAAAAAAG